TCCTCTCAACATAACAAGAGTCATCCCTTTCCATGACACACAATTCCTTTCACAGATTAGGATGCTACCAATGCAAAATCAGAAGACAACATGGTCACATGACAATTAGAGAATGAGATAGGCACTTGTACTCTTGTTCCAATTCAAAGGTTACAAACCAAATAAGAATCATACAAATAAATTCGACCCAATTGTTCTTAAGCTATCTTACTCGGTCCACATATACCTCTCCTCATGACCATATTTGATGAACTACCACAATATACACCCTAAGGGAAACACATAGCCATCCCTAGATCTACTACATTGCTGCTTCCTCATAATCTTACCCAAATGCTGAACTACTAGTAGATCTAACTAGATGTCGAACCTCAACTGTTAGTAAAAACATCCTAATTAATAACTGAAACTAGATCCTACACCTCGATTGAACAAATCCCAACAATACGCTACTAGATCAATCCAAATACCAACCCTGTAGACACAACATGCAAAAAATGTTTCTAAATAGATCTAAAGTCACACTTGGAAAACAGAACAACGCTGTGTCAACATCCGAACTTCCATTAACCAAGGACATGTGCCAAACTCGAGCCTGCTACAAACAATAATTCCACAACCAACAATGAACGAAATGACCAATGATCGAGAATGCATTGACAACTAATTCAATGATCCAATACACTAATGAACAAAGTCAATGTGGAACTAAACATATCAAATTTGAAACAGATTGACAGATTAACAACTGCCCATCGTAGACTATAAATAACAATCTATGAAACGAACTGACAAATCCCTCAACAACCGATACTCAACCCACGCGACCGAATTGCATCTTGACGTATTGCTTGACGTTACCAAAAGGAACCATTAGCTACAACAAGCTCCTTATCTAACAACTTCGTGTCGTGAAGACAGCTCTTGGATTCCAGAACACATACATTTGATGGTAACTTGGTCTATACCCTCGTCTTGACCAAATCCTGAACCAAAGTCTCGCGTACCCAGACTGCATATTTGTGTGACCCATTATTCTGAAACCATAAAGTCGAACAACTTGATGATCTTCCAAGTAGAGTACCTAGTTCTCACCTACTTAGTGTTCGAACTACCACCAACTGGCATTGTAAAAAGACTGAATCTCAAACCGGCTCAACCAGATACTTACCATCCCCGACTCTTGGAATGTATAACACAATGAAAGATGATCTTCCAGATAGAGACCGACTAAACTCAAATAGATTCTGAATCTCAAACGGAGCCCCCTGAACTTCCCAAGCATAATTACCCCTATCATTCATTATGAATCCCATGCAGATGCATAAGCAATAATTATGACAATCCATTCATAGCACCGATTCTCTACCTAGGAACAAGTGGACTGCCACATACTTAGCCTTTAAATCCCCAACCATCACTTCATCATGATAATCATTAATAAATACAAGAGGCATCATTCTTAAGGCCAGGATAAACTAGATATCGCAAAGTTGTAATTCCCGATTCACATCCCTTGATCACCCGAAACAATCAACTACCAACTAAACTAACTAAATTCAAAGAAACCAAACCCTTAATCTCATCTTAAGGCCAACACACCATAAGAATCCTCTTGTGAATCCCCACGCTGTCATACTTGCCGCCAAAACCGCAACTGTCTAGCCCTATGATGGGTCTACATCCCAAGTTTGAAAATCACAAGTCTGGCCTCTCTTTCCTTTGAACATGAAAAGCTGGAAGAGTATAACCCCCATTAAATATAGTCACATCCTACCCCGTCTGCCAACCACTCGGCCACTGGCTGCAATCCTTGAGCCGATTATCATAATCATTTCCTTCTTGAGTCCCACGATTCATCTGGAACTACCTTGTGCAAGGCCCCCCTAGGACCTCAAAATTAACTAACTTACCTAGGTCTACACTAATCGGGTCGATCTGACATGGCCACTAAGGTCCAACTAATCACCAGATCCATCCTCAGTTTGAAAATCTATAATCGAGAAACCGATAAGGGTGGAAATACACTGCAATGAATCATGGTGCCAAACCATACCATGTACCCTTAATCAGCTCCTTAAATCCTTAAAATTTTCCTTGATTCTAGTACTGATCCTGTGCTTTCAATAGTACAGGCCCAATACTACCTTACATACCTATCTGTAATTTCCTCAAGAATCGTTTTGGATCCTTTAAGTAACTACTCATGTTAATTACCGTCCGATCCAATCACGTATACCTTCTCTTAAATGAATACACATCGCTAAACTACGCACCAATCCATCTAAGGCACTTCCTAGGCTCTCTTAGGATTCCCACCTCACCCCACCATCAGTTCCTGAAGAACCTCTACTAATATCAGCTATATACTCTATGAATACAATTATATGCAACCAAACTTAAATAATATTTCGAATAAAATACCCTACCCTACAATGGTTAGACTCAAACTAGAGTAGCACAATAGGTCTAAATCAATTATTCAAGAATTATTTGACATCTACAGTATGTAACTTAACATATTCATTTAATAGCTAGCCCTCATCAATATGGGTCCCATAAAGAAAAGATAAACCATCATTCAAGCATTAATACTTTATAGGCCACAAAACATAAAGAGGCATCCTCCAACTAACTTGCTTCTGCGATGCTAGGAACTTCTGCTAACACTGTCGGTTAGCTTATGCATGCAAATTGTACACAATACATGATCAAATAGACTGTCGAATAAATGATTTCACTTTAGGACCATAACCAAAAGAGGAACAGGAACCAAGGCTAAATCAGTCATTCTAGGACGATATGATCCTAACTGTAAACAAATTTTCAAACATACACTTACTAATCAATTCCACGAACATAGATTCCAAACAGGGTGTTACAACTCTCCCCTACTTATATTGGATTCTATCCTTGGAATCCGTCTTGGTTAGAATCTCTGAAAACATCGCCAACATATTCCACAAGCTCCCTCTAACCACTTCGAAATCAAGGCAACTATACAGAGAAGTCGAGAGATCACTCAGAAACCCACAACTTACAACAAGCATCCCAATAACTTGAAAATACTCAACCATAACCATTATCTTTCTCTGCCTAATGTAAGACCCAAATTACAGCAAAAACCACTTCATGCGGAAAATTTCTCAAAAACTGGAATTACAAACAAATTCCATTAATAACTCCCCAAAACTAGGAACCCATCATTTTTACTCCAAAAACCATGACCTAATATTAATCATTGTCCATTTGTCGTACCTACCCTTAGTTCTTGACCAGGAACACCACCAACCATGCAAAAAGAATACTCAAACACACCATTGTGAATTTTTAAGCATGATGTTACAACTCTCCCCCACTTAAACTGGATTTCGTCCTCGTAATTCGTCTTGGTTAGAATCTATGAAAACAATGCCAACATATTCCACAAACTCCATTTATTGTCTAGTTGAAGTGGGGGAGAGTTGTAACATATCGATGAGTAATCCATGAAAGAAGCCTAACATATATATATTTTTTTCTCATTTTACCCTTTGGCTCCAACACACAAACCAGGGGCTTAGATTATATAACCAATATTATCAAAGTCCAATAAGGCTAAACTCTATTTTCATTAAAACCAAAAGCCTTTACTCGATCCATTTATTGTCTACAATCCCGAAATAAAAAATTTCTCGAAACAGGATGTTACAATTAAAATAAAAGATTGCGGGCTATTAAGGAACTCAACTATTTTTCATGCCTACACACGAGTATCATCAACATTTAACTAAAAAACAATAAGTATAAAATCTATTCACGAAACCAAAATCCAATCTCAAAAACAATTTTAGAAAACTAGAAATAGAAACTTACTGAAGGAGGGCGGGGCAAGGGCGAGGGTGGCGGCTAATAGATGGTAGCGCTAGAGGTGGAAAAGGGCAGCGCTAAAGCGGAAACATGGAGGAGAATGGTCGATAGTTGAGAAAATGGTTGAAAGGGAGAGCTTTTGTCGATGTGATTTCATGTGAGGGGAAGCGTAACCGATTGTATGAAGGTGAAGCAGATTATCTGTCGAGAAGATGGCGGTCGGAGATGATCTTGAGGCTTCCGCTTAGGAGTTGGGTAAAGGAAACCCTAGAAGGTGGCCGGTGGTATCGATGGATAAATTACGGCGACGCAGACGTATGAATAGAAGGGAAAGAGAGAAAAACAAAGATACCATAATTATAGGATGTAATTAAGATTAATTAATTAATTTATATATTGATTTAAAGATATATCCTTATTCAAGTATTTTAAAATGATTGTCCTAAAAATGAGGTACACATTCACAACAGTATATGTTTGTTTACATACGATCTCATCTCAAGAAAGGAGAACACAATTTATGTTTGTTTACATATGATCCCATCTCAAGAAAGGACAAGCTATTACAAATCACACACCACATGAAGAATCACAAAACATATGCAAAAGAAAACAGAAGCACCAAGAGACCAAAATGAAAACCACCAGGACTTACGGTGACCTCAAAGGGAAACCAAGATGAAAATATAACCAAATGAAGCATCCCTACCATCATCACTTCCACTATCTTGAGCTGTAATTTTCTATGTAGCCCACACCATAAGCGATAGACCAGCATCAGAAAAATGGTACCCCTCATCAGGGGCAAAACAGTCCAAAATGATCAACTGAAGGAGATATATTCCAACCAGCCATAAGATCATTACTACAGTCATTTATCATCTTTCTCCTTATAAAGCAACATCAAACCCACCAGCGACAGGGGCAATTTAGACCAAATCAGTCATTCAGTTGTATGAATACGCCATTCGCTCCAATTGCTTACTCGAAATTTATAGCTACCAACAAACCACTTACACATATCAAATAGTCTTTTTCAAACAAACCCTAAGCTTGTGTTATAATTTTATGTTGGTCCAATTGCTTTTGCTTTTTTCCTTAAAGATAATGCATTGAATAGAATAATTATATGTATGCAATTACTTTTACAGAAAGGAACTTGAAAGGGAAGGTAGGGAAGCCAGCGAGGTTGGAAGATTGGATTACCACTATTACCCCTCTCACAGAAGGAGAATCCACGTATAAAGTAACATTTGAATGGGATGAAGATACAGAAGTGCCAGGGGCATTTCTTGTCCAGAATCATCACCACAGTGAATTTTACCTCAAAACACTCACACTTGAAGATGTTCCTGGACATGGACATGTACATTTTGTCTGTAACTCGTGGGTTTACCCTACAAAACGCTACAAAAAAGATCGTATTTTCTTCACCAATAAGGTATAACCTGAAACACGGCTTTGTTTTCTTTTTCTTTTATTTCATAGCTGAACGTATTGATCTTTCTATTTTGTAAATAACTTGTATTGGTAATGGTGATCATTAACAAAAGTGCAATCAATTGTTTTAGAATCAGTGTGTTGTTTGACTATTATAATAGAAAATTTTATGTCTTTATTTTCATATGATAACTTTTTTACATAAATCAAATTATACAGGCATATCTTCCTTTCGAGACACCTGAATTTCTACGTTCATATAGAGATGAAGAGTTGGAAATCTTGCGAGGGGATGGAACTGGGATGCTTGAAGAATGGGATAGGGTTTACGACTATGCTTTCTATAACGACTTGGGAAATCCCGATAAAGACCCTGATGATGCACGCCCAGTTCTTGGAGGATCTTCAGAGTACCCATATCCTCGTAGGGGTAGAACAGGAAGACCACCCACCAAATCAGGTCCTAACATGAACCTATTAAAAAAGATTCAATTCCATGTCTTAAACACATGTTTTGTAAACTAATATCTTGTTTTCATCTTGTAATAGATCCTAATACTGAGAGTAGGCTTCCACTTCTTATGAGCTTAAACATATATGTGCCAAGAGACGAAAGATTTGGACACTTGAAGTTGTCTGATTTTCTTGCTTATGGTCTAAAATCCATCGTTCAGTTCCTCCTCCCGGAGTTTCAAGCTCTATGTGATACCACCCATGATGAATTTGACTCGTTTGAAGATATCTACAAGCTTTATGAAGGAGGATTCAAGCTTCCTGGAGGTCCTTTACTTGATCGTATTCGAGAAAACATCCCCTTAGAATTGCTGAAAATAGTTCTTGAAACAGATAGTGATGGAATTGCAAAATTTCCGAAACCACAAGTCATTAAAGGTATACATGTCGTAAATCAGCTAAAACCTTACATCTTCTGTTATCAGACATAATATAAGAAAGTAATAGCTAAGTATCTTTAATCTTTAATAAGATATAAACGATAAACAACTTTGTAAAAACAAGATTATTCTTATCAATATATTGTAATGATTGTTACTAAGCACATAAGTAAATTTGGATGATTTGTTTCCAGAGGACAAGTCAGCTTGGAGGACAGATGAAGAATTTGCAAGAGAAATGCTGGCTGGAGTCAATCCTGTTAAAATCTGCCTTTTAAAAGTAAACACTAGCTTAATTACGCGAATAGATATATAGATATATATATGTATATATATCCTGCACACCACACTAGAAATGTTGTTGATGTTCAACCATGATTCAGAATTCTTTTCGATTTTGCAGGAGTTTCCTCCAACAAGCAAGCTGGATGTCCAAATTTATGGAAATCAAAATAGTTCGATAAAACCACACCACATCGAGAAAAACCTAAATGGGTTAAAAGTAGATGAGGTAAGATCGATCATTCCAAAATCGAATCCAATCAAGATGACGTTGTAACCAAAGAATAAAAGATATCATCAATATGTTTTTTTACTTAGGTTTTGAAAGCAAATAGGTTATTCATATTGGATCATCATGACTCATTGATGCCATACTTGAGGCGAATAAACGCAACCACGAACAAGATTTATGCATCAAGAACTTTGCTCCTGCTACAAAATGATGGAACTTTAAAACCATTAGTAATCGAGTTAAGCTTACCACATCCTGATGGAGATAATCTTGGTGCCATTAGCAATGTTTACACCCCTGCTGAAAATGGAGTGGAAGGCTCCATCTGGAAGTTGGCGAAAGCATATGTAGCAGTTAACGATTCTGGAATTCATCAACTCATCAGCCACTGGTATACTAACAGAAACTCATAAGGAACATTTATATGTAGACTAGTGCTTATATATTTTAACCATATCCTTTATACTTCACAGGTTGCATACCCATGCAGTTGTTGAGCCATTTGTGATTGCTGCAAATAGGCAACTTAGCGTACTCCACCCTGTTTATAAACTTCTATACCCTCATTTTCGTGATACCATGAATATCAATGCATTCGCTAGGCAGATATTGATCAACGGTGGAGGCATCCTTGAATTAACTGTATTTCCAGGGAAATATTCTATGGAATTGTCTTCGGTGTTGTATAAGGATTGGGTTTTTCCTGAACAAGCACTTCCAGTGGATCTTGTCAAGAGGTACGTATTTAAGAGGAAATCATGGTAGATATAATACTTTTGTAAGTTGTTATTAGTAGTGTAAACTTGATTAAATCTTGATTACCGTAACTTAGGGGAATGGCGATTGAGGACTCAGATTCTCATCATGGACTTCGTCTACTAATCGATGATTATCCATATGCGGTTGATGGACTTGAGATTTGGTCCGCTATCAAATCTTGGGTTGAGGATTACTGTAAATTCTACTACAAGAACGATGATATGATTCAAAATGACACAGAGCTTCAATCATGGTGGAAGGAACTACGAGAAGAGGGACACGGTGACAAGAAACACGAGCCATGGTGGCCTAAAATGGAGACTTGTCATGACTTGATAGATGTTTGCACTACATTCATATGGGTGGCTTCTGCTCTTCATGCATCTGTAAATTATGGGCAATACCCTTATGCTGGTTTTCTCCCTAATCGTCCAACTCTAAGTCGTAGGTTTATGCCAGAACCAAATACTCCTGAGTACGATGAACTTAAAGAGAATCCTGATAATGTTTTCTTGAAAACCATTACTCCCCAATTACAAACGCTTCTTGGGATTGCGCTGATAGAGTTATTGTCAAGGCATTCGTCGGATGAGGTTTACCTTGGACAAAGAGAGTGTCCTGAGTGGACAATGGATGCAGAACCTTTGAAGGCATTTGAGAAATTTGGGAAGAAGCTGAAAGATATCGAGGAAAAGATTGTGAAAATGAACAATGATGAAAAGTTGAAGAACAGGATTGGACCAGTTAACGTACCATACACCCTACTATACCCAACGAGCGAAGAGGGACTTACTGGGAAGGGAATTCCTAATAGTACGTCCATGTGAGATGGATTTAGCAGTATGTTTATAACACATGATTGAATAACAAAAGGAAAATGGGACCATGTCTCGATTATAGTATTCTGTTAGCAAATTGCTTTCATCTTGTTTGTTGGTGTGACCTCTATTTGTACTTATAATGTGTTTCTATAAGAATAATGAAGCTATTGTATTATCGTATTCTTGTATTTCTGGATGTTTTGCAGCTCGTAATTAAATATTTACTTATTTTTGTAGTTGAAGAAAAAGTCAGCAAGCAACTCCAACATTGGTTCTACTTCTACATCATCAAACACACGCAAATTTTTTCTAGCTATTAAGAAGGATTAAATATGAAAAAAATGATGTGCAACCCTTTTATTGCAGGCAATGTGCTGCCAGAATGCAACTTTTCTGAAAGTGTTGAAGTTGACTTGATGCGTCAATACTAATAGTTTCCTTTTTTTCAACCTTTTTATTGATGTTCTGTTTATTTTTCATATGTAAGTTCCGAGAATAGAACCAATTAACCGGTTATTATTTGGTTATAACATCCCATATTTATTTAGGACTGTTTCCAATTTATAAGGGTTATTATATTTAAGTAACATTAGAAAACACAAAATTGCAAGATTGGTCCATGTAGTATTTAAAATTTTTTTATATAAAAAGTTGAAGGTCCAAAATAAAAGTTTTTCTGGGTTTTTGGTATTTGATAAACTTAAAAAATCGATTTACCTTTTTCATTTCCTTTTTTTATTTTCTTTATTTCTTTTGGTATTTAAATAATTAAAAATTAAAAATTAAAACTAAAATTTCACCCAAGCCCCTCTCTCTCTCTCATACTCATTTTGGCATCTTGCACCTGATTTTAGTTAACATAGAGAAAACACCACCACCACCATTATTGGCTGCTGACACCTACAGCTACGTAGACCGACTACCATGTCATTCTCGTCAGAAACTCCACCAACCATCTCTTCAGCCACAAAGACACATATCGGGTTACATCGCCGTCCTTGTTTGTAGTACCAACAACAACTAACGTCTCTAGAGCTCCAGCTCCTCACCGCCGCCGCCTAGCTTCATGAAAACCCTAGATTAGGGCTTCACCGCCGCTTAACTTCATGAAAACCCTAGGGAGATCTATCACCCTAAATAAAGAAGATAGAAAAAATAAATGGAAATGGAAAATCGACTTTTCAAGTGTATCATGGACCAAAATCCTAGTAAAACTTTGATTTTAGACATTCCATGCAAATCGAAAACTTTTTGGATCCTATCCAAAATTTTTTGAATACCACTGCGACCAATCTTATAGTTTTGTCAATTAGAAAACTTTATAACCCTATTATATAAAAACTAAATACGTTTAAATGTTAAATTTTATTCATTCCACTAAATCTTCTTTCTCTCCTCTCTCCTTGGTGATTTATCAACCATGTAACATTCTCAATAGGAGTGTCTTTTCATATCAAGTTTTCCAGATTTGGAGTTTCCATTTTATATCATGATGTTCGTTAGATTGTTATTTGTGTTGATTAGCATTTCGACATTCACCTTCATTCTACAACATTCACCTTCATTTTGTATACCTTCCTTTGTATGTTCTCGACAGGACACACTAACATAAACACTAATGTCATTTAATTACGTGGTATTATATTAATTGCAAGGGTTGTTTCTGACCTTACGCCAATTTAGTGTGGTTCGTACCTAATACATTTGGTGACACTCTGACTAATTGTTCATGCCATTAGGAGTGAGAATCGGTTTGGTTTTTCGGTTTCTTCGAATCGGTTTCCTCGATTTGAATTTTTTTGGTCTACTTCGAAAAGCGAACCAAATCGAATTCAAATTCCCTAGACCAAACCGAAAACCGAATTCTAATTCGGTTTGGTTTGGTTTGAAAATCGAGGAAACCAAATATCAACTTAAAAAATTTTCAAACATAAATTAAATTGTTTTTAACATAGAAACCTAAAGTTGCAAACAAAAAGATTGAAAGTTTCATACAAAATGATCCAAAGAAATAAATGAGCTAAAATGATTTTTACTTTATAATTAATACTTTTATTTAATATAAAATATAAAATATATTTTTTAATTAATTAATTTATGAAATTTGGTTTGATTTAAACTTCATGAGACTGTAACTCGAACGAAAAATCAAATTCACAATTCGGTTTGGTCTCATACTAAACCAGAAACCGATTTAAATATGGTTCGGTCTAAAATCTATTTCGTTTCGATTTGGTTTTTGGGTTTTTCGGTTATGGAGGAAATAATTCCCACCCCTACATGCATTTCCCTGCCAACGGGCCATGCCCTGTATAGTTTTTGGGTTTATGATTATCAATGAGGAGGTTATCCTCCCTATGGTTTTTCATGTTGTCAAAATTTCAGATAAAAATTGTATTTCTATTATCATATTCCGGTTTGTAATCATAATGACTTCTTAAAGCCTGACACCTAATTCTTGGTTTCCCCATACCTATTTATACTCATGAATGTGTTGGTAATAATGTCAAAGTTCATTAACGATTTTGGTAATATTTCTAATAATAAAAATGTATTTTTGGTTGATCTCATAACCAAAGTAAGTTAATAAAAATGAGGAAAATTAGTTGTTAGTTTATTAAGGAATTAATAAATAAATTGGAAATTATTTCGATAATTAATTAAATTTTTTATTTAATTAAAGAGCTTGAATATTAATTCATTGAAGAGATTAATTGGAATATTCCAAAAGCTCCTAGAGATATAGGAGTGGAAGTTTTTGGTTGCTTCATGGATAGGGATAGAGCAGGTTTGAATCAGATAAAGATTAACTTCAGAGTTTGAATCCTTTTGGGATTCTATCTACAATCTATAAATAGACTACTAGGGGTCAAACCTAGAAGTTGGTTTTCCTTATATTTTCGTCCTCTCTCTCTCTCTCTCTCTCTCTCTCTCTATCTATCTATCTATCTATCTATCTATCTATCTATCTATCTCCTATGTATGAAATCTCTACCCTCTCTTATAAAGTTAGAGAACTTTGATTAAGCCCTAGTTTATGGTTCTTCCTAATTTTTTCTCTTGGAGTTTGTGGGTCTGACTTCATTATATCGATTCTACTTTGGATCCTTCATCCAGTGCAATTACTGGCATTCACAAGATCTTAAGCAAAGGATGAAGAGGTTAGTATGTTCTTTCTTGTTTTTAAAGTTCGTTGTTATAACTAGTAAACCTAGATCTTTGGTGCATGTACACTTAGGTATACATTTTGATTGTTTTCATTTCCATAAGATAGTGTATTGATACTATTAGAACGCAATAGTGGTATTAGAGACTAAGAAGTTTTAGTTAATTGCAAAAAATTGGTAAAAAAACAGGGAAACATGTTTAATCGACACGCGCGACACGTTTGTCCGGATTTTAAGATTTCAGATTTTGACTAAATTTCGAAATTCTGGGGATAAACTTGTTGTTTAAATTATTATTTTAATTCTTGAAAGTTGAGTATTTGAATTTTAGATTAATTGGAAATATTATTTAACTGGAATTTAAATATTAATATTTAATTGTATCAAAAATATTAATATTATTTAAACTTGAATTAAAATTTAAATATTTATCTTGAACTTTAATTAATAACAGAACAAAATTAGAAAGAGAAGAATATATAAATTTAAAAGGTTAAAATTTAGTATATGGTATAGATACTATATGTATAGGAATTATATAACATGTGTATTCACATGTTTAATTAATAACTGTATCTTTGAATCAAGACTAGGCGCATCCGCTCTAGTACTCTAAGAAAGGTTTAAGGAGGTCTCTATGATTCCTAATGAAGTCGGTTTTTAAATTGTTTCACACTTACCATCATCACTACCTTTTTTAGAGTAGAGTTACCAAAAGGGTTCAATCTGGTTTTGTTTCAATATTAAAAGTATTAATAAAGTAATAAAACAAAATTCATTTTTATATATCAAAACGTCAGTCATGTGTTATCCATGAAATTGCACATAGTGTTTATATTTTGATGATGGATCGTGATTGGTTAACCAACATGTAATTGTGAAAATATAACTTAATATGATGTGTCACTCGTGAGATTATTGTATTGATGGATCATGTATGGTTAACTGACACATAAACTTGAGAATAATTTTGTAATAATTATCATGTGGTTTTTCTTGGCCGACTCACCATCTTTTCAATGATCCGTGATATCCCCATCATTGAATTGAGATAAGCATAATCGAGATTAACATGCTATTGAGTGTTAGTGAATCTCAAATGATATAGAATTTTAAAGAGTTTGTAACTAATAAGTTGCATTACCCACCTAAATAAATTTATTGTGGGTTTATGATATCTCTTTAGACATTGCAAAGCTAAATATGAGTCCTAGCCTTGTTAATAATTCATTTAGGGTTAAAAGTTTTTTTAAGGATGAATCAAAAACTAACTAAACCACTTTCATCTTGTACATGTCAAATAATAATAATAACCTTAACCATCTTCGTTCCATAAACTCAATTTTATCTCTTATCTCTATCCTATCTAACGAGAAATTAACATGTCAAAACTCTTTGGACTCGATTCGTACCTTGAGAGTTTTTGTAAGGTATGAGGGAAAAGAGTATGTCCTCGATGAAGATCTCCCTATTTCAGAATGTCGTAGTCCGGAATATACGAAGATTCTTGTTTCGGACCACATCTCTGGAATGATTACACATACTACAAAATGCTCTATTTCGAAGAAAGTTGTCAAGTAGGGCACCAAAATAAATTACCTTACTTTGGAATGACCTATTCCGAAGAAAGTGGTCATTTTACTATATATATATATATATATATATATATATATATATATATATATATATATATATACACGTTCATTTGAGACCATGTTAATTTTCTGAGACAAGGGGACACGATTCTAGCCACTCATCTTGGAGATAAAAAAAAATGTTGAAAGAAAAACTTGAACAAACTTTAGTCACAAGATAATATAATGTGGAATAAAAGTTAATCTGGAGGATCTTGTTAGCTCAACCATAATAAGTTAAGTGAGATAGAGGTTAGATGCAGAAATGTAAAGGAAATATAAATGACAACATGTTATATCAAGTAACACCAAGTTTATTCATAACAAGGTTTGCATTCAAACACAAGTTAGTAAATGCGATCAACTTAAGACGAAGAGAGACTCAAATTATCAGTTAAAATAGAGATAGAGATGAATGATCTTTGTATTTCAAATGAAGTTGATAAAAATCATGTTGAGTACATGAAGAGAGATGTTCTATATATAGAGTCCCAAAAGTTACATTGAGAAATAAAGAACTACTAAACAATTGACTATGGTAAGCATGAAAGGTTCACCTGACAATACAACGTAAACATGTAATGTAAGGAAAAGTA